ATTACAAATGATTTACTTTTAGCTTCTGACCAAGGCTGTATCTCAATACTAGTCCTACTTGATCTTAGCGCTGCGTTCGACACTATAGATCATAAAATACTCTTGGATCGACTACAAAACTACACTGGTGTCCAGGGACAGGCATTAAGCTGGTTTAGATCGTACTTATCGGACCGTTCTCATTTTGTCTGTTTAAATGGGAAAAAATCAAAGATAACGTCAGTAGACTATGGAGTACCGCAAGGATCGGTTTTAGGCCCTCTGCTATTCTCAATATATATGCTGCCACTTGGTAATATTATAAGAAAACATGGAATTAATTTCCACTGTTACGCTGACGACACTCAATTATATATTTCATCACGACCAGATGAAAACACTAACTCATCTAAAATGACAGAGTGTCTCAAAGATATAAAATGCTGGATGACGCGCAATTTCCTGCTATTAAATTCAGATAAACCGGAGGTATTACGTATTGGTCCAAAAAACTACACAGAAAACCTCTTACAGTACAACTTTAATATAGACTGATGTCCTGTTACTTTATCCACTACAGTAAAAGACCTGGGTGTTATACTAGACCGCAACTTGTCTTTTCGAAAATCATATTTCATATGTTACAAGAACAGCCTTTTTCCACCTTAGAAACATTGCTAAGCTACGTAACATGCTATCTATTTCTGATGCAGAAAAATTAGTTCATGCATTCATGACCTCGAGACTAGATTACTGTAATGCTTTATTAGCTGGTTGTCCTGCATCCTCAATAAACAAGCTACAGTTAGTACAAAATGCAGCTGCTAGAGTTCTTACTAGGTCAAGAAATTATGATCATATAACACCGATTTTATCATCTCTACACTGGTTACCTATTAAGTTCCGCATCAACTACAAAATACTACTACTGACCTATAAAGCCCTAAATGGTTTAGCACCTATGTACTTAACGGACCTTCTTTCGCCCTACAATCCACCGCGTTCCTTAAGATCACTAAATTCAAGGCTTCTGGTCATTCCTAGGATATCAAAGTCCAGTAAAGGAGGGAGGGCGTTCTCGCATTTAGCTCCAAAACTCTGGAATAGCCTTCCCGATAGGGTCCGAGGCTCTGACTCGCTCACACAGTTTAAAACTAGATTAAAGACGCTTCTCTTTAGTCAAGCATTCACATAATGCTTACCTTCTAGTCCTCTGTTATGCCATACGGAACCGTTTGCCACTGAAACTGCTTAACGCACCAGTGGGGCTCGACAGCCTTTTAGACAAACGGGTCGGCTCGTATGGTTGGGTTGGGTTGCGGAGAGTAATAATGCTTACTTTTTAGTCCTCTGTTACGGAACCGTTTGCCACTGAAACGCATTTCCGCGACAGTGGGGCTCGACAGCCTTAGATAACGCCTGTAATATGTTATGGCGCCGTTTGATTCATAAACAATATTTATATTTAATATTTATATTTAAACAATATGAATGTAAGCCAGAGGAGAACTGGCCCCCGACTGAGCCTGGGTTCTCCCAAGGTTTTTTCTCCAGCCAATCTGATGGAGTTTTGGTTCCTTGCCACTGTCGCCTTGCTTTTGGCTTGCTTTGAGCTTGCTCAGTTGGGGTTATTTAGTGTTTAGCAATGTTGTTGATCTGTGTTGTACTACTTTCATGTTATCACTGTGAAGCTGCTTTGATACAATCTGTATTGTGAAAAGCGCTATATAAATAAAAAAAATGTGACATTCGCAACATCCTTTTTTCTTTGTTCCAAAAACTGTTAGTGTAGCTGGACGTAGGTCATTTCTGTATAAAGCCCCTTCTGACTGGAATAATCTTCCTGTTTCTTTGAGATCTATTACTTCTTTCAATCGTTTTAGGTTATGCCTATTCTCTTATCTTAAAATAACCTGTTTATGTTTTTGATTTTATTTATTTATTTATTTTTCCTTGGTTGAGATTCACTTAAGGATATTTTGCTGTTACCTGGCTCTATGTTGACGATTTATGATGATGAGATTCTGTAATGAAACTACTAACTACTGAAACTATGTTGGGTGTAGAAGCCCACAAGAGTGTGAGAAGCAGGTTGAGCTTTTTTTTTTTTTTTTTTTTTTTTTTTTTGTAGTCTTGTTTTGTAATGTTGTTGTGTCTTATGTTGTCTGTGTTGTATATTACTTATGTTTTTAGGACCCCCTTGAAAATGAGATGTTGCATCTCAAGGGGCTATCCTGTCAATAAATTCAAATTCAAATATCAATACTCCGGTGAAGGCTCCCTCTGGTGGCGGAGAGGAGGCGGAGCGGGAGCCTCCACTGTAACACATAATCCCGTTTTCCTCGGTTTTCCTCCGCTTTAATCTCCACAACCGGAAATGGACGAGCATCCTTGCGTCAAATGCGGAACTTATGCGTGCATATTAGGGCTGGGTAATAAATATCGATTTCTCGATATTAATCGATTCTCATTTTTAAAAACCGATATCGATTCTTAAAGGAACACTCCGACTTTTTGGGACTTTAGCCTATTCACCTTACCCCCCAGAGTTAGATAAGTCCATACATACCTTTTTCATCTCCGTGCGTGCTATAAGTCTGTTTGACGCACCCACCGCTAGCCTAGCTTAGCACAAAGACTGGATGTGAATGGTTGCACTTTCATACTAATCCAAATGAGTGACAAAATAACGCAATTGTTTTCCTATTTACATGTTGTGGTTTGTATAGTCACATAATGTACAAATAACAAAGTCAAATGAGACACAGACATCTTTTAATCGTATAAAACCTGGGAACTATTCTCTGAAGGCGAAGCACTGCTACTTTGACGGAGTGATAACCGCATCACCGGAGACACGCCGTGGTGAGGAGCGGAGAGTTCGCTCAGTGTTTGGGTAATAGAGTCAGCAATTTATAAATAGTAAAAGCGTAGTTTAGAGTCATGGGTTTTCGCTCTATTGTAAATAGCTGCGACAGTAAACAGGGGAGGTAATACCATGTTTCACAGAATTCCAACTAAAAACGCTGACTGGATGAAGAAATGGCTAACTTACTCTGGATATTTATCCAAACACACCTAAATAGATTATCAAGGGACATTATGTTTGCTCGGTACATTTCAATGGACGACTATTTTGAAAAAATGGAATTTGCCACACGGACCATAATGTGCTGAAGGATACGGCCATCCCATCTATAGCACAGACAGGACAAGTGGATCACCTGCGGCTGAGGTAAGTGTTCCGTTATGTTTTTAGATGACCTACTGTAACAGTGCCTTTAGCCAGATCTAATGACACTATTATATGATTAGGGTATGAATATGTTTTTATCTTGATGCGGTGCGGACGCGCTTGGAAAAAAAAATGAGCGCGTTCACCGCGCTGAACTTGCACCCTGCGCATGGCGCGCCTATTAGCCTAAATTTGAAATAACCATGGAAATAACGAACTTGAGCGTGCAAAAGGGTACGATAGGCTGTGAGTTCATTGTGCAAAAACAATTTGTCCTATTACTTTCCCCGTATTCTATCCTATACTAATGCAATTATACTGTATATTATATACTGTTGAATACATTTGGTTCAGCTAATAAATTGCATTTAAAATATATTGATTCCTGTAATAAAAATTATTTATTCATGTGATATTTATAAATCTGGGTGCGTTTTTGGTTGGAAATCAATGAAACATGGTACTGTATTACCTGGTCTCCCCTGTTTATTGTCACAGCTCATACAATAAAGCAAACACCCATGATAAACTATGCTTTTCTATCTAACGTTAGTAATTGCTGACTCTTTATTCCAACACTGAGCGAACTCTCTGCTCCTCGTCACGGTGCGTCTCAGGTGATTGTTATCACTCTGCCCAAGTAGCAGTGCTTCGCCTTCAGAAAATATAGTATTTATACGGTTAAAAGATGTCTGTGTCTCATATGGCCTTCTTATTTGTACAGTCTGTGACTATACAAACCACAACATGTAAATAGGAAAGCGTTTGCGTTATTTTGTCACTCATTTGGATTAGTATGAAAGCTGCAACCATTCACATCCAGTCTTTGTGCTAAGCTAGGCTAGCGGTGGGTGCATCAAACAGACTTATAGCACGCACGGAGATGAAAAAGGTATGTATGGACTTATCTAACTCTGGGGAGTAAGGTGAATAGGCTAAAGTCCCAAAAAGTCGGAGTGTTCCTTTAAATCTCAAGAATCGATTAGTCAATCCGGTTTCAATTGAATGAATGGGACATTGTATCACGGCTGCGCGCATCCAACAAATCGCAATAATCTTTGTCCTTTGTTACTATTGATATGAAACAAAGTCTCAATTTTCAAATTACGTCCATTTTCTTTAGAAATTCAAAAACATAAATTACGCTTTGCCGTTTTGGCGCTGTGGCGTGAGATCGCTCTGGCGCAGCTCCAGAGAAGCAGCAGTGCTGATCTCTCTTCCGGCGTAATAATACCAGCTACAGCGCGAAATAAACATGAATGAGCATCTGAAAGTGTGTTAAAAGATAGAGTACAACTTATCGAAATCCCTACCATGTCACATTGATTCGCTCAATCTGCGTTTCAACCGTGGAAAGACGTCAATTAAACAGCTTGTAATCAATGTCATGTATCGTCATATTTACCTCAGAAAACTCCACATAAATTTGTTAGTCCACACTCGTTAGTGTTCTTCAATATTTAATGCATATTTGAATAAATCTGGCAACTTAGTTTTTATGACAACCACCATTTAAATGTTTATATTTCATATAATCTTCTTATTATAAAAATAAATAAAAGTGTAATTTAAGTATTTGTATAGCTACAAAATTAGAACTGATTTATTGTAACTGATATCCAAAATAATCGATATTGAATCGAATCGAATCGTAATCGAATCGAATTGCAAGCTTGTGAATCGAAATCGAATAGAATTGTGAAATTTGTCTCAATACCCAGCCCTAGTGCATATAGCCCATTATAACTAATTTTTGTAACTCTTTTGTTATAGGCTACATGCAGCAATGATGATGAAGACATGGTGACCATAAAGAACTGCTCTGGGGATTCTGGAACAACTGTTGGCGTTTCACGACACACTGTTGAGGTACATATTTAACTGTGGCATTTTAGTTAGCCAAAAACCATGACATGATGATCAGGACCCTAAACTGGAGGGTCCTGTTAGCTACTTATGTTATCCTAAGTTAGCTACTTGACAAATACATGACCATGATTTATTTTTGAAATTGTTTAATAATATTTTATTTTGCTTCAAGAAAGTCTTCAACATTTTGCCCTAAACTGTAAGGACAAGTTTTCACTTTATTTCTTTTTTTTTCTTAACAGTCTTTGGTTGATTACTCAGACAGTGAAGACGACATTTTGTGTTCTAAAATGATGATGACATCTTATAAACGGGTATTTATTTTTCATTGCTACTACCATTTCTCTTTAATTGCCTCATACTTCAAAAGCATTTTTTAAAGCCTGTTTGCCTGTTTTGTCTTTCTTAGATGAGACCTGCAACTCATGAGGACTCTGATAATTACTCTGATAATTCCAGTGTAGATGAGAGTACAGACATTCAAGGTGACATCAGACTGAAACATACACCGTTTGCAACGAGTGAACAACGTTCCACTTGTACCACAACAATCAAAAGAGCAAAAAACACCATAGTAAGTGTTTATTTTATTATTTATTTATTATTCTATGACAGAGGATTAACTGAACTGGATGGTTATTGTCTTTCAAGGCTAGAAGGAAGATTGCTGAGCACTCAGATGTTTTTGATTCGAGCGAAGATTTATCTGAAGTCAGTGAGGAAGAGTACATTCCGGACACATCACAAGAAAGTAGCGATACAGATAGTAGCGCAAGCCTTACTGTTTCACTGAAAGGTAAAAGAAAGCTCCACACTTTGCCAGTCCAGTGCACTTCAGCTGAGAACAGAAGCACCAACTACAATCCTCAAAGCAGCTGTGACTTAGGGAGCCTCCAGAGCCATGGCGCAACCTCAGTTCCTGACAGTACAAGTTCAGTGTTTATTCCAGCTATCCTTAAAAAGAGGGATGGACTGAGAATGTATAGTAAGAGACAACATTGCTTTTTTTGTGACCGTCCTTTTACGAAAATCGCTAGACACCTAGAGTGCAAGCATATGAATGAAATAGAGGTAGCAAAGGCTCTAAGTCATCCAAAGGGCTCCAAAGAAAGGCGAATGCAGCTTGAGTATTTGCGCAACAAAGGCAACTTTGCTTACAATTCTACTGTTATTAACACAGGCTCAGGACAGATGATTCCACGGAAACTGCCTAAAAAGACTTTGGATGGAGAGAAATTTTTGCATTGCATTTACTGCCAAGGACTGTTCTTAAAGAAAACCCTGTGGCGACATTTTAAAATTTGCAAATTCAAGCCTTCTGAGGTGAAACCAAAACCTGGTAAAACCCATGTGCAGGCTCTTTGCAGCTTTGCACAGCCTCCCCCACCAGGAGTAAATCATGGTGTTTGGAAGCTGCTAAATGCCATGAATCAAGACCAAGTGGCACTTAAAGCTAGAAATGACTGGTGCATATTAGAGCTGGGGAAGCATCTTTACAATAAATACGGATCAAGAGTTAAAATGCATGAATACATCCGTCAAAAGATGAGAGAGCTTGGAAGACTCCTTATATGTACTAGAGAGGTAACACCCCTTACATCTATCAAAGAGCTCATCCATCCCACAAACTTTATGCATGCCGTTAGTGCAGTAAAAAGAACAGCTGGATACATTGAAGAGACCAATGTATATGAGAAGGCAAGTGTTGCTGTGAAACTTGGGCATAGTCTGAACAAAATCGCAATGCTTATTGAGAGCCATTCTACCATCAATGGAGACAAAGAAAGTGCAGAATTTGCAAATAGCTTCCAACAACTGTATCGAACCCGATGGCCTGAGTACATCTCTTCAACAGCGCGGCGAACAATGGAAGAAGCCAAGTGGAACTGCCCACATTTGCTCCCATTCACTGAAGATGTTAAACGTCTCCATGTTTATCTTGATGAGCAAGAGAAAATTTACCACAAACTTTTGTCTACACAGCCATCATCTCAGCATTGGTCAAAATTGGCCAAGGTTATATTGACTCAGGTTATGCTTTTTAATCGTAGGCGAGAAGGGGAAGTGTCACAGATGCCATTGTCCGCATACACCTCCAGCAACCAATCAGAAGCTCATCCGGATATTAGCATGGCCCTCACAGAGTTGGAAAATAAACTGTGTCAATACTTCAAGCGTATAGAGATCAGAGGCAAAAGAGGAAGAAAGGTTCCAGTGCTTGTTACTCCTTCAATGCAAGAGTCAATCAGCCTGCTAATTAAAAACCGGAGCAAGTGTGGAGTACTGAATGAGAACCCTTTTCTCTTCGCACGTCCGTCTGCAATGACCTTTTTCAGAGGCTCTGACTGCATCCGTGAATTTGCAGGTGCATGCAATGCTAAGAATCCTCAAACTCTAACTTCCACCAAGTTGAGGAAACAGATTGGTACCCTCTCTGAAGTTTTAAATTTGAGTAACACTGAGCTCGATCAGCTGGCTGACTTCTTAGGCCATGATATTAGGATACATCGTCAGTTTTACCGCTTACCTGAGGGGACACTTCAGCTGGCCAAAATGAGCAAAATTCTTCTGGCCCTCGAAAAAGGACGCTTGGCAGACTTTAAAGGGAAAAATCTTGATGAAATCATCATTGATCCAGAAGGTACTATACACTGTTACATTACTTTTTATCCTTTATCTGAACTTATTAATTTAAAGATATTGGTTTTGTTTTTTATAATTCTGTAATGGTTTACACAAATTGTTAGAGGGTTTTGGGTAGGGCTGCACGTTTATGGCCAAAATGATAATCACGATTATCACGATTATTTGCTGATTTTAACCAAAAAAAAATAGTATTTTCACAAAGGCTAATTATATCTGCTTTTACATTCATGTTGTGCTACATTCCTGCTAATATACACATCACCTAGTCAGGCTAGTTAGACATTTTACGATCGATTTGCATTTTCTACGAAGGCATTCTTTGCAGATATAGCCTCTCCTCTCGTTACGCACTCGGGCTCTCCTCTCCTCTCGTTACGCACTCGGGCTCTCCTCTCGTTACGCACTCGGTCTCTCCTCTCCTCTCGTTACGCACTCGGGCTCTCCTCTCGTTACGCACTCGGTCTCTCCTCTCCTCTCGTTACGCACTCGGGCTCTCCTCTCGTTACGCACTCGGTCTCTCCTCTCCTCTCGTTACGCACTCGGGCTCTCCTCTCGTTACGCACTCAGGCTCTCCTCTCCTCTCGTTACGCACTCGGGCTCTCCTCTCCTCTCGTTATGCACTCGGGCTCTCCTCTTCCTCTCGTTACGCACTCGGGCTCTCCTCTCCTCTCGTTACGCACTCGGGCTCTCCTCTCGTTACGCACTCAGGCTCTCCTCTCCTCTCGTTACGCACTCGGTCTCTCCTCTCCTCTCGTTACGCACTCGGGCTCTCCTCTCGTTACGCACTCAGGCTCTCCTCTCCTCTCGTTACGCACTCGGGCTCTCCTCTCCTCTCGTTACGCACTCGGGCTCTCCTCTCCTCTCGTTACGCACTCGGGCTCTCCTTCCTCTCGTTACGCACTCGGGCTCTCCTTCCTCTCGTTACGCACTCGGTCTCTCCTCTCCTCTCGTTACGCACTCAGGCTCTCCTCTCGTTACGCACTCGGGCTCTCCTCTCCTCTCGTTATGCACTCGGGCTCTCCTCTCCTCTCGTTACGCACTCGGGCTCTCCTCTCCTCTCGTTACGCACTCGGGCTCTCCTTCCTCTCGTTACGCACTCGGTCTCTCCTCTCCTCTCGTTACGCACTCGGGCTCTCCTCTCCTCTCGTTACGCACTCGGGCTCTCCTTCCTCTCGTTACGCACTCGGGCTCTCCTCTCGTTACGCACTCGGTCTCTCCTCTCCTCTCGTTACGCACTCGGGCTCTCCTTCCTCTCGTTACGCACTCGGGCTCTCCTCTCGTTACGCACTCGGTCTCTCCTCTCCTCTCGTTACGCACTCGGGCTCTCCTCTCCTCTCGTTACGCACTCGGGCTCTCCTCTCCTCTCGTTACGCACTCGGGCTCTCCTCTCCTCTCGTTACGCACTCGGGCTCTCTCCTCTCGTTACGCACTCGGCTCTCCTCTCCTCTCGTTACGCACTCGGGCTCTCCTCTCCTCTCGTTACGCACTCGGGCTCTCCTCTCCTCTCGTTACGCACTCGGGCTCTCCTCTCGTTACGCACTCGGCTCTCCTCTCCTCTCGTTACGCACTCGGTCTCTCCTCTCCTCTCGTTACGCACTCGGCTCTCCTCTCGTTACGCACTCGGCTCTCCTCTCCTCTCGTTACGCACTCGGGCTCTCCTCTCCTCTCGTTACGCACTCGGGCTCTCCTCTCCTCTCGTTACGCACTCGGGCTCTCCTTCCTCTCGTTACGCACTCGGGCTCTCCTTCCTCTCGTTACGCACTCGGTCTCTCCTCTCCTCTCGTTACGCACTCGGCTCTCCTCTCGTTACGCACTCGGGCTCTCCTCTCCTCTCGTTACGCACTCGGGCTCTCCTCTCCTCTCGTTACGCACTCGGGCTCTCCTCTCCTCTCGTTACGCACTCGGGCTCTCCTCTCCTCTCGTTACGCACTCGGTCTCTCCTCTCCTCTCGTTACGCACTCGGCTCTCCTCTCCTCTCGTTACGCACTCGGGCTCTCCTTCCTCTCGTTACGCACTCGGGCTCTCCTCTCGTTACGCACTCGGTCTCTCCTCTCCTCTCGTTACGCACTCGGGCTCTCCTTCCTCTCGTTACGCACTCGGGCTCTCCTCTCGTTACGCACTCGGTCTCTCCTCTCCTCTCGTTACGCACTCGGGCTCTCCTCTCCTCTCGTTACGCACTCGGGCTCTCCTCTCCTCTCGTTACGCACTCGGGCTCTCCTCTCCTCTCGTTACGCACTCGGGCTCTCCTCTCGTTACGCACTCGGCTCTCCTCTCCTCTCGTTACGCACTCGGTCTCTCCTCTCCTCTCGTTACGCACTCGGGCTCTCCTCTCGTTACGCACTCGGCTCTCCTCTCCTCTCGTTACGCACTCGGGCTCTCCTCTCCTCTCGTTACGCACTCGGGCTCTCCTCTCCTCTCGTTACGCACTCGGGCTCTCCTTCCTCTCGTTACGCACTCGGGCTCTCCTTCCTCTCGTTACGCACTCGGTCTCTCCTCTCTTCTCGTTACGCACTCGGCTCTCCTCTCGTTACGCACTCGGGCTCTCCTCTCCTCTCGTTACGCACTCGGGCTCTCCTCTCGTTACGCACTCGGTCTCTCCTCTCCTCTCGTTACGCACTCGGGCTCTCCTCTCGTTACGCACTCGGTCTCTCCTCTCCTCTCGTTACGCACTCGGGCTCTCCTCTCGTTACGCACTCGGCTCTCCTCTCCTCTCGTTACGCACTCGGGCTCTCCTCTCCTCTCGTTACGCACTCGGGCTCTCCTCTCCTCTCGTTACGCACTCGGGCTCTCCTCTCCTCTCGTTACGCACTCGGGCTCTCCTCTCCTCTCGTTACGCACTCGGTCTCTCCTCTCCTCTCGTTACGCACTCGGGCTCTCCTCTCGTTACGCACTCGGGCTCTCCTCTCCTCTCGTTACGCACTCGGGCTCTCCTCTCCTCTCGTTACGCACTCGGGCTCTCCTCTCGTTACGCACTCAGGCTCTCCTCTCCTCTCGTTACGCACTCGGGCTCTCCTCTCGTTACGCACTCGGGCTCTCCTCTCCTCTCGTTACGCACTCGGGCTCTCCTCTCGTTACGCACTCGGGCTCTCTCTCCTCTCGTTACGCACTCGGCTCTCTTCCTCTCGTTACGCACTCAGGCTCTCCTCTCCTCTCGTTACGCACTCGGGCTCTCCTCTCGTTACGCACTCGGGCTCTCCTCTCCTCTCGTTACGCACTCGGGCTCTCCTCTCGTTACGCACTCGGGCTCTCCTCTCCTCTCGTTACGCACTCGGGCTCTCCTTCCTCTCGTTACGCACTCGGCTCTCCTTCCTCTCGTTACGCACTCGGTCTCTCCTCTCTTCTCGTTACGCACTCAGGCTCTCCTCTCGTTACGCACTCGGGCTCTCCTCTCCTCTCGTTACGCACTCGGGCTCTCCTCTCCTCTCGTTACGCACTCGGGCTCTCCTCTCCTCTCGTTACGCACTCGGGCTCTCCTTCCTCTCGTTACGCACTCGGTCTCTCCTCTCCTCTCGTTACGCACTCGGGCTCTCCTCTCCTCTCGTTACGCACTCGGGCTCTCCTTCCTCTCGTTACGCACTCGGGCTCTCCTCTCGTTACGCACTCGGTCTCTCCTCTCCTCTCGTTACGCACTCGGGCTCTCCTTCCTCTCGTTACGCACTCGGGCTCTCCTCTCCTCTCGTTACGCACTCGGGCTCTCCTTCCTCTCGTTACGCACTCGGGCTCTCCTTCCTCTCGTTACGCACTCGGGCTCTCCTCTCGTTACGCACTCGGTCTCTCCTCTCCTCTTGTTACACACTCTGTCTCTCCTCTCCTCTCGTTACGCACTCGGTCTCTCCTCTCCTCTTGTTACGCACTCGGTCTCTCCTCTCCTCTTGTTACGCACTCGGTCTCTCCTCTCCTCTCGTTACGCACTCGGTCTCTCTCTCTCTCGTTACGCACTCGGTCTCTCCTCTCCTCTCGGATGCGCTCGGGCTCTCCTCTCGTTACGCACTCGGGCTCTCCACTCCTCTCGTTACGCACTCGGGCTCTCCTCTCCTCTCGGACGCACTCGGGCTCTCCTCTCGTTACGCACTCGGGCTCTCCTCTCCTCTCGGACGCACTCGGTCTCTCCTCTCGTTACGCACTCGGGCTCTCCTCTCCTCTCGTTACACACTCGGGCTCTCCTCTCGTTACGCACTCGGACTCTCCTCTCCTCTCGGACGCACTCGGGCTCTCCTCTCGTTACGCACTCGGTCTCTTCTCTCCTCTCGGACGCACTCGGGCTCTCCTCTCCTTACGCACTCGGTCTCTCCTCTCCTCTCGGACGCACTCGGTCTCTCCTCTCCTCTCGGACGCACTCGGGCTCTCCTCTCGTTACGCACTCGGGCTCTCCTCTCGGACGCACTCGGTCTCTCCTTTATTTTTAAAATATTTTTTTATTTTAAATTAAAGTTAAATGATTGATTTTTTCACCCTTAGAGAATGTTACAGTGGACAGTGATTTAGAGGAGTCTACTTCCAATCCAAAAGGTAACAATTTTATTTAGCCAGTTTGTTCAAATTTATGTCCAGTTAAATTCTAAATTATGTTGTTTCTAGGGATGGCAAATTGGTTTGAAATGTGTGGTTCATCTTTAGATTCTTTTTCTCACTTTCTACTCTGGAAAGTGCATGTAGTCAGTTTAGTCTTTTCCCTCGTGATTTGCGCATGAGCCCGCACTCACCTCAAAACACTGTTGCCAACTTCTAAAGCCTGCTCAAAGTTGCTATATGTTGCTTAATGGGGTCATAAGCTAATTAGCATAATCATTGCATAATTCATGTAATATTTGTCAAAAAAAACACCAGTTGAGATTGAGAGAGCGGCTTTATTCGCTAGACTTAAACCTAAAAAATACTCCTGTATATATGGTGTATTTGGAAAATGCAGTGTTTTAAAATGATCTTTCTGCTCAAAATACAGATTTGTGTTATCAACCAGTTTAGCTATTTTCCTTAACACGCCCATCTTGGTTTTGGTACTGGAATGCAGTCAAAATGCAGTATGACGTAATTCTGAGGTCCCAAATCCAATTTTCGAAGTAAAAACACAGTGTTACAGTTGTTTCGGTCACCTTTTGTCCGACAAAATTAAAGTAATGGCTATATTTTCCAACCGCTGAATATGTAGACTTTTCCAGATTCTGACTAAGCTAGCTGCTGCAATAGTGACGTCACATGCATGCAATGATTACAAATGTGAATAGGGATCATTGGATTGTAAAATTTGTAGCAATTGTGCCTCTTTAAGATGGCAACTAATATTACGGAAATTTTATTAGTAATTAGTTTTTATTTATTTATTTTTATTTATTTATTTGTTTTATTTGAGCTGTAACCATTCAGCTCAAAAGAAGAGGGCCGAAGCAACAGAGCTTATTAGCGCCCCCCCCCCCTCCAAATTTCATACAAGACAATTTCACATTTCACAATCGTTCAAGGGAACAAAGAGCAAAACAACAACAAAAAGACAACAAATATCTGGTCCTGATTAAACAACAAAGCGACAACAAGAATCTGGTCATGGTAAAAGTACCCCTACTGACAAAACATTTCTTCATCTCTATACTTTGCAAAGATCTTTTGTTTATATTCTATTTAAAAGATTAATATTTGAACTTCTTTTTATAACTATCTCCAAATTATTCCATAATTGTACCCCTTGACTGTAAGGCTAAAACTTTTCAAAGTTGTACAATGTTTCTGCGTCCTAAAGTTTAATTCATCACGTAATTCATAACAACCAGTACGTTCATGGAACCTTTTTTGTATTTGTGTGGCAGGGCGGATTAGATCCCGCCTGATTAATTGTGGAGAATGATGGGTGTGTCAGCCTATCAGCAGCCATCCCTGGCATATTTAAGGAGGAGTTCAGGCCACCTGGGTATGTGTCATCGTCACTTTTGTTTGGGTGCGCGCGCATCTTTGCTGGAGGTATGTACCTAGTTGTTTGGCTAATGTTGCTGCTAATCTATATGCACCATTAAGGTGGAAATGTATATGTTTTAGCCAGACTAGGGTCCGGATTTGTGACGTCGCTGTTGGTTACAGGCTGTCCTCCTCACAGGTATGTTATTGCTAACGGATTATTGTTAGTTTGGGGTTTAATCTCCGGTAACCTATGTTTCTATCGTAGTACAGCTTGTGTGTTTGGTCAGATGAAACACCGGTGCAATTGCGGCTTGCCTATTATAAACGAGGCTGTGAGTAACCGAGTCTGCTGTGGGTCTAGCGATCTACCTTTGGAAAGGTAATTTAATCACTGATTTTTACGGATTGTTTTTTTTAAAATAAAATCATTAATTGTTTATTTTCCTTAGTGCGTCGTGCAGTATGTGAGCGGTTCATCCCGGTGGACTGCGGGGCAAAATGCTCCATCGACAACGTCGTTAAGACTGCACTGCTTTGTTCTGCTGCCACTACCCCTATCGTTTATTATTTTGATGTAGTACTTGTTTTTTTCTTCTAGTTTATTTTGTTTTGAAAACTTGATTTAAGCCATTGCTGGTGGTTTAAGTGAGTGGCTATAGCCGTCATTGGACGTGAGACGTGCTGTTAAGCGTGTAATTTATCCCGCTACCTTTTGTAATATTGCCACCAGCGGTTTTGGTTATTTTGCTCTTTGATCAGTGCGCCTGTACAGACTGAAGAAAGGAGCTATATTTTGTTTCTGTGATTTAATTTATTGTTCTTCTTTTGTTTTGTATTCAGTTTTTTTTTATATAGCATTTGGCTGCTTGCATGTATGTTGAACTGGCAGTCTGAGGTGAATTGGTGAACACTGGCCGGTTTAACTTCTGTGACCAGTAAACTGCCAAGTGTTGGCTTAATTTATTGTCATCAATTGTTTAATTCTAATTTGTTGGTACCAGTGCAGCTAATTGTGATTTGTATTGTTTGTGTTTTTTTGTGTTTCTTTCAGGAGCTGAAGGCCCCACCCCAGTGTAGGGAAGCTAGCTGGCTGTGCCTCTTCCGGTGGTGGTGTTTCCTTCACAGAGTGTTTTTATTCCATTGGCACCTGCGTTTCTTTCACTTAGCTAGCGTGAGTGTTTGTGAGGAGATTTGAAGTGGTGTGATCTTAGGATGCTCACTGCCCAGCTAGCTCCCTACTGGTGAGCCTCAGCCCGAAAGTGTGTTTTGTTTTTGGACGCACCCTGAAGGAGCGTAAAACTTTGCTCCTTCGGCATCAAGAATTTTAATATATATATTTAACATAAGTAGAATTGTGAAAAATAAAGTATTTTTGTATTCAGATTCACGTCTCTTGTCCTCTGTGGTAGCGAACCTGTGTCCTTTTGAATTTTCCCCATTTATCATAATGGGGTGGCGTAGTCTGTTTTTCCTGGTTTGATACTTTTCGCAGCAGTGTAACTTTTGGCCGTACACCCACCTCGCCACAGATTGGCGTATAGTCGGCAGGGTTTTCCACTTTTGGACAGAGACGTGGGTGTGTATGAAGTTGTTTGTTTTTTTGTGTTTTTCCCTTGTTTTCTCTTTGTTTTTTTCTTGTATTCTAGGATTGACTTTCCTGAAGAGTGGCAGCAGAACAGCAGTGTACGTCTAGTGTATTAATTCTGGCCCTTATTTGGGGGCTGATTCTCTTTCATTGGTGAGTACCACTGTAGTTGAGTATGGAGGAAGAATTACAAGATTGAGGGAGATGATTGCTCTGCTTAGAGCAGACAACGAGAAGTTGCGTCAGGAGCGGGTTCCTGTGCCCCAGGCCTGTTGATGTGCCCAGGTCTGCTGATGTACCCCTGTTATACCTGGAACTTCTGTTCTTCGCAACCCGGTAATGCTAATGGTTGAGGTCCCCGACCAGAACGATTTGTGTTTGTACCACGAGACAGGAAGTGCCCAAAATTCAATGGTAGGGTTGGCCTTGGCATTGAGGAATGGGTTGAGCAGGCCGAGGCCTGTATGCGCGTTCGTCACACTTTCTGATGCTGATAAGGCGTTTTATTTGTTTGATCATTTGGAGGGGGAGGCAAGGGAAGAGATTAAGGTACCGTCCAGAGGTGGAGCGTAAAGACCAACCGAATTATTTCAGCTTTACGGGAATTGTACGGTTGCTCA